CACGTCTTTGTACGCGTTCTAAGCGAGCGATGAGGTCGATGGTTTGCGGAGACCAAACTTGTGTAGCATATCCCATTTGCGATCGAACAAGTGTTATATATAGCGTCCGACGGGCCTTACAGTTCTTGATTGTTCTTGTTGATCTTTTGATGAAACCCAACATTTTATTTGCTTTTGAGCATTGTTCCAATACCTGTTTGCGCCAGGTCAAATTGTTTGATATCCATACGCAGAGATCACGCTCATTTTCAACGTTTTCTAACATGCTATCTTGTAAGGTGTATGGATACTTGATCTTGCGATGTTTTCCGGTGACCCGCAGAGCTTTACATTTGGAAGTGTTTAAGTGAAGACCCATATCTGAAGAACTTGATTCAAAATTACTCAGGTCCTCCTGTAACGATGCAGCATCACCGATATTATGGATTTCTTTGAAGATTTTGGTGTCATCAGCGTATGTTGCAATGGATGAATTCTTCACAGAAGAAGGGAGATCATTTTCACATAACAAAAATAACACCGGTCCGAGAATGGAGCCCTGAGATACCCCTGATATTACTTGACTAGGTAAAGATGTTGCACCGAGGATGGTTGTTTGTTGACGACGATCTTGTAGGTAGGAGCGGAACCAGTTGAGAATGTTGCCTCCAAAACCAAATTCACGGAGACGAAGAAGAAGACGTTTATGGCTAACTTTATCAAAAGCTTTTGACATATCGAAATAAATTACATCGATCTGTTTGCCACGATCTAGTTGTTTTCCTATCTTGTCAAAAACTTCGATAAGTTGGGTCACACAGTTTTTCCCGGGAAGGAAACCATGTTGACAAGGATTTATTCGACAGAAAATATGATCTTTAATAGTATTGAAGACACAGCGTTCCAGAACTTTCGAAACCAGAGGGAGCAGAGATATAGGTCTATAATGTTCCACAAATTCCTGGTCTCCTTTTTTATGAGCAGGAACAACATTAGCGAGTTTCCAATCAGATGGTACCACGCCGATACGCAACGATTTGTTAAACAATTGACATAGAGATGGAGCTATTTGAGATGCAGTTTCTGTTAGTAAATGGGCAGGAATCCCATCTGGGCCATGAGCTTTGTCATTATCAAAAGTTCTTAGTACATTAGCTACGTCGTCAGGTGTTAAAACAACATCCTCCAACAAGAAATGTTATCATCGATCGTGGACGGGTCTATGGAAGTATCTGGATCATTGGTAAGGATGGATGTAAAATAATTATTAAATTAATTTTATCAGATATAAAGTCACTCCACGTGACATATTATGGCTGACATGATTTACCACAAGGTTTATGAATTATTAATGAGTATTTGAAATGTCAGTTACATATCACTCGATTTTAGTAGAAATGATCCACACTAAAATGCAGACAGTACGAATACTGCTATCTTGAAGCGCTCTAACCAACTGAGCTACAGAGTCCAGTTGTCGAGCTCTGACCGCAAGTAGGGTGATGCCATGGTAAGATTTATGGGTAAATATCAGGATTTTGGGCAACTGCTGTCCAGCCGTTTCTGGTTAGGTCCAATAAATGTATTAAATTTTACCCTATAATTATTAATTAAATTTTGTATCGGTAATCATGCGATGGCGAGTACAATTAGGGATTAATAGTACGAGTGATGTTTGGAAATTGATGTTTGGAACGAGCCGTCGTTCAAGCAAAATTTGGTGCTTTTGTTCGTATTTTCATCTAGTTCCTTCACGGCAATTTCATTTCACATCTGTGTTTAAAATACCTTTCCGCCATTTTGTTTGTTTTGGGAAAATCATTAATTGTACTGCAGTACAATTAATGAAATAATTGTACTCCTCTCAACCAATCAGCATCCAGTAATGTTGTCATGCTAATAATAAACTCTATAACTGATTAAATTTTACTCTATAATTCCATCTATAAAACATCGAGTACCTATTGTGAGGAAGTTGTCGCTGTTTACAAAGGATTAAAAGAGGTGCGAAGTGTCAAAATGCACGGCCATTCCATAATTCAGCCATGATGATACCCGACGAAGAAATAATTCCAAAACTATACCTGCGCGTGCGATCAACTGTAACCCTAATATTGATCATCAATCTATTGAAAACAACATATATAGTGCTGGTGGTAGTGGTGATGATGGTGATGAAAGTGATGGTGGTGGTGCTTCTGCCAACAGAATAACACTCACCCGAACTCCTGGTATGATCTGTACTTGGACCAGTGTTGACTGAGGGTGTACCACCTTGATGTCTGGTCCAATTAAAATCATCACTGGAATCTTGAGCCCACTGGCAACTGTTAGGAACTTCAAAGTTACAGGAGAATTTATCAATCTCTAAACATAAAAACATATAAAAATCAAGATCACAAGTACATTTGTTCCACTGAAAATATATCGGGTATTCAGGCTTCGGATTTACTGTAAAGTATATGAATCCATATCAACCAGTATAACAAATAATTGTAATTCCTAAAAAAATTACATTCACAAGCCTTTTTCAGGTGTAAAAAGACAACGCCATTAATTAATCCCTTATCCATATTTACCAACCATTCATTGGTTGTTCTTAATAGAGAAGAGCAAGTAGAGTACCCTTTTCTAAACCCTGATTGATTTGGAGTTAGTATCTGGTTTGTAATAAGATACTGGTTTAACTGATCAAATACAATTTTCTCGAAAATTTTGCACAAGTGATTCACCTCTTCCAGAATATGAATCCATGAGAGTGATATCATCAATTGCAATGTCTCCCTTCAAATCTTTACCACGTACACCTTCGATTACAAACTGCAAAAAAAGTAGAAAAGTGCGGTCGTTTCAGTTAACTGGTAGATGAACTTCAGAAATATTTAGCACTGGAACAAGCAGGTATTTCTAATTCTATACCCATCTGGGCCACCTATATCTGCTGTCTTTAGATTCGGTTATATTTGGTGTTCACTGATCTACATGCTCACCTGATATGACGCCGTTTGATTGTTCACAGCCACTTGTGCTTGATACCATTTGTCACCTTGGTCTCCAGAAAGACTCCACAGAGAATCCATCTTACCCCCAGATTTCACGTAGACCTGTAGGTGAATATGACAGATTAATACGTCAAATTTGACCAATCACCTTGTAGGATTTGTTATGTTCATTTGTGCAAAAATATTAAATACATTTATCAGTGTATCAATGTGTTTCAGTTCACGATAGAAGAACCTGAAATAGTGCCGGACGTTTCCGACTAAATTACAGTTTTTCCGATCGAATGCCAGATTGGCCAGACATTTTTCCGAACAAAAAATAGCAATCAATTCGAATTGGTATTATTTAAACTATACTGTATAGTGTTTGGCATAAAGTAATATCTATATACTGACGTATAATTTACCCAATGGATGCCGACCAAGTTTTGAATGTTATTTCAGCCTCTGCAATAGGTTGAAAACTGAAAAGTACAGTACTCGATACATAGATATCTTATATACACTAGATAGTGCATCTAATTATTCTGCAATTCAAAAATTGAAGTCGTGGTTGCAGACTCGGGATATTCCCATGAAATGAGAAGACTCGTATGTTTTCTATTTCTTAAACAGGGAACTTAAACATTAAGTTAAACCTATTCCAAATACATTTTCAAACTATTCAAATGATGAAAGTTATTGTTGTTTTTTAAGCGCTTATTAGAGAGTGGGAAACTTCAACATGGCCGCCATCTATTCAAATGGAGGTAACCGCTGGAAAATTCTTGGCTCCAATTTTACTAAAAGAGATACGCTATCTAGTGTATATAAGATACCTATATGACTCGATACCACAAAGATCGAGAAAATACAGTATAGTATAGTTTGGTTCACTTCAAAATCTTCACCATCAAAGGTTTCACTCTGATAAGGGGACGTTTATGTATGATACTATGTTTATGTAGGATATTTTACAGTTTACTGTACCGAGTACCGCAAGTATTCGATGGCGTGAATTCTGATGGTGAGTTCTTCCGTTCTTGTATTCTGATGGTGAGTTCTTCTGTTCTTGTATTCTGATAGTGATTACTTCCGTTCTTGTATTCTGATGGTGAGTTCTTCTGTTCTTGCATTCTGATAGTGAGTTCTTCTGTTCTTGTATTCTGATGGTGAGTTCTTCCGTTCTTGTATTCTGATGGTGAGTTCTACCGTTCTTGTATTCTGATGGTGAGTTCTACCGTTCTTGTATTCTGATGGTGAGTTCTTCTGTTCTTGTATTCTGATGGTGAGTTCTTCCGTTCTTGTATTCTGATAGTGAGTTCTTCCGTTCTTGTATTCCGATGGTGAGTTCTCCCGTTCTTGTATTCTGATAGCGAGTTCTTCCGTTCTTGTATTCTGATAGCGAGTTCTTCCGTTCTTGTATTCTGATGGTGAGTTCTTCCGTTCTTGTATTCTGATGGTGAGTTATTCCGTTCTTGTATTCTGATAGTGAGTTCTTCCGTTCTTGTATTCTGATGGTGAGTTCTTCTGTTCTTGTATTCTGATGGTGAGTTCTTCCGTTCTTGTATTCTGATAGTGAGTTCTTCCGTTCTTGTATTCTGATAGCGAGTTCTTCCGTTCTTTTATGGCGTGTTTGATAGCGTATGTATTCAGTGATTACTTGGACTTGGGTACGGTAAAATGTAAAATTTCCGTTTATATATATTGAATGTTGACCCTGATCACCTGATGCCATGATACTGGCATGTGGACTGTTTGGGAAAGTTAATCAATAAATAAATAAAAATAAATACCCGAAGTTCACGCACGTCAGCACCGTACATGTGGTAAAAAAAGAGGAGACGGGATTTGGCTTTTGTTGTCGATGGTGAGATCAATCGAGCTTTGTCGTTCAGTTGCCTTGGTGGCGAGGTTTCGATGTATAAATACCAACCAGATGCTGAAATGAGAAATATGCATGATGTTGGTTAAGCCTGAAAAACTGGAGAGAGTAGATTTAAGTGAAGCTAAGTGTGTAGTAGAAAACGCGGACACGGTCATGCGGACACGCAGACATGCGGATACGTAGACATGCGGACATGAAATTTACTAAAGTTGAAAAAACTTATTACGAGAATAATCAAATTTATTAGACTGGTATAGTGTAATGATGTAATGAATGAAGATTGATAATGGATTGTTGCGCGAACTTTACTGTTTTGATGTATTTTTACTTAGTATAAAAGATTTGAAAAGAAATTACAAGGCGCAGCTGAGCGTTTTATGTCTGATAAAACACGACAACGAGTGTTTTCAATATCTTAAAACACGACTACAAAAGAATACTAATTAGGATGAACAATTATATAATCATACCAATTAGGATGAACAATTATATAAAGAATACTAATGAAGATGAGTTTTATCAGATATAAAGTCACTCCACGTGACATATTATGGCTGACATGATTTGCCTCAAGGTTTATGAATTATTAATGAATATTTTACATGTCAGTTACATATCACTCTATTCTAGTAGAAATGATCAACACTAAAATGCAGACAGTACGAATACTGCTATCTTGAAGCGCTCTAACCAACTGAGCTACAGAGAGACAGTTGTCGAGCTCTAACCAACTGAGCTACAGAGAGACAGTTGTCGAGCTCTAACCAACTGAGCTACAGAGAGACAGTTGTCGAGCTCTAACCAACTGCGTTACAGAGAGACAGTTGTCGAGCTCTAACCAACTGAGCTACAGAGAGACAGTTGTCGAGCTCTAACCAACTGCGTTACAGAGAGACAGTTGTCGAGCTCTAACCAACTGAGCTACAGAGAGACAGTTGTCGAGCTCTAACCAACTGAGCTACAGAGAGACAGCTGTCGAGCTCTAACCAAGTGAGCTACAGAGAGACAGTTGTCGAGCTCTAACCAACTGAGCTACAGAGAGACAGTTGTCGAGCTCTAACCAACTGAGCTACAGAGAGACAGTTGTCGAGCTCTAACCAACTGAGCTACAGAGAGACAGTTGTCGAGCTCTAACCGCAAGTTCATGTCTATATATACTAAGGTGATACCATGGTAAGATTTATGGGTAAATATCAGGATTTTGGGCAACTGCTGGACAGAGGGCATAGAGTTGCATTTATTGCAGCTGTTCCTGGTTAGGTGTAAAAAATGTATTAATTTTTTAAAATTATTACCTATTGTGAGGAAGTTGTCGCTGTTTACAAAGGATTAAAAGAGGTGCGAAGTGTCAAAATGCACGCCCTTCTATAATTCAGCCATGATGATACCCGACGAAGAAATAATTCCAAAACTATACGTGCGCGTGCGATCAAGTGTAGCTCTATTATTGATCAGCAATCTATTGAAAACAACATATATAGTGCTGGTGGTAGTGGTGATGATGGTGATGGTACTACTGCCAACAGAATAAAACACTTACCCGCACTCTTGGTATGATCTGTAGTTGGACCAGTGTAGTCTGAGGGTGTACCACCTAGGGTTGGGCGATATTTCGATGTTTTGATTTATCGCGATATTTTCAATCGTGATTATCGTATCGAAGGTAGAAACTTGAGCGACGATATATCGAAATTATCGTCATGCTCGATGACTATCGTGATATTGCTTCACGTGTGTATATAGCCTTTATAAAATCCTAAAAAATTCTTTCAATTCCTAGAAAATATAGTTTTTATAAGAATTAAAACTATTTCCTATACGAATTTATTACGATACAAAAGCTAATATTTATGTATCAATCCACGCTGAACAATGAAATTGCAGGCTTTTCTTGCGCTGTGTGCCCACAGCATTTGTACCGGCAGAGACACAGTAGACACTGCATAGACAGTTCTTGTTTATGACCAGTAAATATTAGACTAGAAAAAGCCTTCGTATTACTTTAATTTGTTGTTTTACTTGTTTTTAATAAGATTATATATAAGCTTACTATGCTTTGATATTAATTGTTTTTATTGCATTTATCGCGATATTATCGAATATCGTGATCATTTCCTTGACAATAATATCGCCCAACCCTAGTACCACCTTGATGTCTGGTCATGTGGTGGTGGTCTGGCCACCTTGATGTCTGGATGATTTGAATGATGATGTTTGTGGTGGTGATGTTGGTAATTATGGGTGGTGATAATGCTGGTGAACAGGTGATAGTGTAGCGCTGGTGGTAGTGATGATGATGGTGAATATGATGTTGATGAAAGTGATGGCATCTCAGTCAACAGAATATATAACACTTACCCAAACCCTTGGTATGATCTGTAAGTGGACCAGTGTGTGGTGACTCTGTACGACCTTGATGCCTGGTCCAATTAAAATCATCACTGGCATCTTGAGTCCACTGGCAACTGTTAGGAACTTCAAAGTTACAGGAGAATTTGTCAATCTCTAAACATAAAAACATTTAACAATCAAGATCACAAGTACATTTGTTCCACTGAAAATATATCGGGTATTCAGGCTTCGGATTTACTGTATATGAATTCATATGAAGTATATGAATTCATATCAACCAGTATAACAAATAATTGTAATTCCTAAAAAAATTACATTCACTTTTCGAATAAAAAAGGCGAGTGTTTTCAATAGCTTAAAACACGACTACAAAAGAATACTAATTAGGATGAACAATTATATAAAGAATACTAATGAAGATGAGTTTTATCAGATATAAAGTCACTCCACGTGACATATTATGGACTCCACGTGACATATTATGGCTAACATGATTTGCCACAAGGTGTATGAATTATTAATGAGTATTTGAAATGTCAGTTACATATCACTCGATTTTAGTAGAAATGAGGACTAAAGTTAGTTTTTGTTGAGGAAAAAATCAATGGACGGCAATGGCGTTAAAAATTGCCGTAGAACGTAACAGCTATCTACGGCAATTTTGGCAGTTTCCACGGCATTTTTTCAAATTACTGTAACAAAAATTTAATTTTATTGTTGATATAGTAATTTAGTGAATAGTATAAAAATTCTACTATACGGCAAAAAATTGCCGTCGTTGCCGCAATGATCCACGGCATTTTGTATTCCCTCTACGGCAATTGCCGCGATAAAATTCGAGCCCTGGAGAAAACCCTCAAAGCACAGGAGAGAACCAATCAAACTCTACTTACATTTATAGTAAGTACTCCAAGGTTGGGCCTGCACTAAACTAACTTAGATAGATTTATTGAAAACACGACATGGCAGTCATAGAGACTGAATTACGTAGGTATACAAGTTATCAGTACTATCAATATTTACATTATATTAACATTTAAAAATCGTATATGAGTCCTACGAAAGTTAAAAAGTAGTAATACATTGGTTGCATGCATAGTTTATAAATGCGAGTACTGTCCGCGTTTACTGCATGGCGGCACGAATCTGTTTTTGATCCGATTAGTGTTAATAAAAGGCAATTCATAAACTCGATTGTGTCTTAAGTTGTGATGTGAAATGTTTGTTTTTGGTAAAAGGTGGTGTTACTTGTGATTGTTATCAGCCAACGTTGATCGAAAGAGTGAATCACACAAGTTTTGGCGACGAGTGGACAGCGTATCAAGATTTGATAGTTCTAACCTTTCTTCATACGTGACTTCTGGAAAAATGAAGCATAATGCGCGTTTCTGAACTCGTTCTAACTTCCAAGTTCTCCTAAAGGTACTCGGGCAGGGCATAATGGAACACCTGTGCCCCATATTCTAATATGTAGGTCGAATGCAGGCACAATAGAAGTTAATAATATCTGTTACGTGAACTTTTGCTCGTTTAAGTTGGACAAGGAAGAATAGGCGTTTGTTGGCTTTTTTTTATTGCGTTGTTGACATGATTGTTCCATAACAATTTGTCTGAAACGGTAAGCCCCAAGATCTTCGCGTGGTGTACTACCTCAATTGGTTTTCCTTCTATCGTTAATCGTCTGAAGTGATGCTTCTGGCGTTTAAAATCGATTACCATTTCTTTGCATTTGTCTCCGTTAAGTTGGAGTCTATTTTGGAGAGACCAATTCACAACGGTATCAACGCTCCTTCGTGCTTGACTTGAAGAGTTCAAGGGCACGACTTCTGAGATAGTCGTATCATCATTTATCATGAACAGGAAAAGCCAAGGGCCCAATTTAGTTCCCTGCGGTAGCCCTACAGAAACTCGAGCCCATTTAGCCCGCGTGCAGGCCCAGGTAAGAATAGTGGGCCTACAAGGAGACCGGGTGTTTTGCAAAACGCCTCTTTTCATAACATGCCCCATTCGCGCGTCAATTGACCACTTGCGTAATAGACAAAATTTTGATCTAAACAAGTTTAGACAAATATTCCATCACAGCTTGAAAGAGCATCGCAAACTTAGTAATATTCCAAAGTTTCGTTGCGAAATGTTGTAAAATGTGGATAATATAGACTTGCGAAGTTTGCCGTTTTTCAGTCATTTTGCATTACGCGGGGGAAATTGGCAGCCCAATACGCTTTGGGGCTGTCAATTTCCCGTTTGTAATACAAAATGACTGAAAAACGGCAAACTTCGAAAGGCTATATTATCCGCATTTTACAACATTTCGCAACGAAAACTTTGGAATATTACTAATTTTGCGATGCTCTTTCAAGCTGTGATGGAATATTTGTCTAAACTTGTTTAGATCAAAATTTTGTCTATTACGCAAGTGGTCAATTGTCAAAAAAAGAACCAATGACAGCAACCCAAATAGTAACAAACAAACTCGCATTAGTAGCTGCTCATTCTTTGGACTTTGCATGGTAGTAGAAATTGAGCGCTGTACTGCTTCAATAGATTCATTTGAATGATTATTTATATCAGACACTGGAGAGTCCACGGTTGGTTAACATTTCCTTGACTGTTATTCAGAGTTGTAGACTCGAGTCGTGCGACTTGGACTCGAGTCGAAATTTTTGTGACTTGTGACTTGACTTGTTAAAGAGACTGATGACTTGTGACTTGACTTGGACAAAATGACTTGTGACTTGACTTGCAAGAAATGACTTGTTACCAACACAAGTCAAACGTAAATATCAAGTGAAAATCAAGTTTTCCAAAATCTTTGTGTTGATCGATCGATCGTCGTGTTGTACAATTTGGGCAGCGACCTTAGTACATATCAATGGCATCGACAGCATTTGTGCCGGCGTATTTTCTGACAAAGCGGGGTTTTTTCGCGATTTCGTGGTAAAATTTCTGATATAAAATAACGACGCCATATTTACATATTTTGCCGTTTTGCGTGGGAAAACATGGCCACATGTGGCGATAAAATGACTTGTGACTTGACTTGAATTGACTTGCCACTCGGAATGACTTGTGACTTGACTTGGATTTAGACAAAATGACTTGTGACTTGACTTGACTTGAACTCAGATCAAATGACTTGACTTGGACTTGCAGGAAATGACTTGTGACTTGACTTGGACTTGCAACATAGAACTCGTTAACTACTCTGCTGTTATTAGTTTCAGGTGAACTCAGACACTAGAAGTAACCAGACACAGTACTAAAATGCGGTGCCCGCCTACAAATAAAACTTTCGGCGTTTCCGCCTCATGCACAACTCCACAAGTAAAGTTATATTTAGCACGCTACATTCTCCTGTCGGCCGCCAGTTGGTCCGTACGTTAGGACCAAAACTGCGATTTAAAGCCTTCAAAATAAAATATTTTGGGCTCAAAATACTATCAAAATGAGGAGAAAAGTAAAATATAATATTTTGGGCTCAAACTACTAACAAAACAAAGAGAAAAGTGAGACGAACCCACTGGACCAGGTATATACTGTATACGGCCGAAAAAGAGAAAACCAACAATACGAAAATGATCAATTGGTCACTTTGTATTGCATTTTTAATTAGTTCAATAATGCTGTCTGAAATATATTACTTAAGTCATCGATATTAAACAAGTTGGTTAAATTCTTGGCGTTAGGTGTAATAGTTCTTTCAAGGTCGGTTAAATTCTCGGCGTTAGGTGTAATAGTTCTTACCTTGGGCGAATGAAATAGCAATACATAGTAGACAGGGAATGATAAAGCTGATTCGAAAAATCTTTTTGGTAATCTATAGAAAGAATTCAAAAATTCAATAAATAATAGTAATTTATTCAATGTCGATTACACTGGCAATTCACCCAAGTTGATGATACAAGTGCTGGACAACTTGGGCCCTGGGGTACGCGAAGAAAAACCTTCGAAGTACAGAAGGAACCAAACTGGACTAAACCTACCCTGAGTGCGAGAGGTTTTAGAAGATTTTTCACTCAAAATCAAACTGGGATGTAAACGTAAAACACTTCAGCACGAACTGGTAAAAACAGTTTAAAATCGGTTTAAACGGTTAAAGCAACCCTGGTATCTCAAGTCCCACCAAAAAGTTACATTACAACTATAATTTACATACGACGATCGATACCAGTACATGAAATTAAAATTATAATATAGAAATAACATTTAATTTCACTGGCCGAAAGGACCAGTCGAAATGACCAGTGTCTTAAATGGGGGATTTTCTCTCTTCTTCGTCGTTTTTTTGGGTGTCACAAACGTGACATTCTTCCAATGGATCATGTTCATCTAATTTTCAAAATGGAAAAACAAATTTTCTGGTGTGGCTGACAGTCTTCCTTATCAAGGGTTTAAGACTCAAGGACACTTTAACATCAAACAAAATAAGGTTATATAACAAGAAAATGCAATGATCAGCGGTAATTCGAATTATTATGGATCCTAACTCGATAGTCAGGCATCCTCCTGTCTAACCGCCTCACCCTAGTATAAACGCTGGCAATCGATAAACCGAGGAAAAACAGATGTAGTTTTTGAAAATGATTCAACCGATGTTGTTCTAGGCAAAAAAAAAACACGAAATAAATCCTAATTGAACATTAACACAGACAAATTATCAGACGAACCATCTTTTCTTTGCCCAAGTTCGTCCAGACGGATCTGTGTTTTAAAC